TAGATAGATAGATAGATAGTTGGATGGATGGATGGATGGATGGTGGATGGATGGATAGATAGATAGATAGATAGATAGATAGATAGGTAGATAGATAGATAGATAGGTAATTTGATGAAAGAGAGAGAGAGAGAGATAGATCGATAGATAAATACATACATAGATAGGTAGGTAGGTAGATAGTCAGAGAAAGAGAGAGAAAGAGAGGAGACCTCAACCACCGTTCAGTCCATCAGTGGCTTCGCTCTGCCATCCCGGATTCACAACAACCAATCTCTCCTATAGGTTTCCTATTTTTGAAACTTCCGCCACCGCCTTGCGCGGTACTACTGGTATAAATGTAAGTTTGTTTTGTCATTGATTGGTAAGGGCATCTTGCCTCACTGCACTATAAGCAGTTTCCGTGGCGGCATGTTTGCTGAACGCAGCGCTGTCAACCCAAGGCATTTCAAGGCATTTGTGGGCTTGGTAGTTTTTGGCTTTATCGTGAACACCCTTGCCTCTCAAAGGCGCGAAAGGAAGCTGCAGCATTGATGTAGCTTAACAATTGTCAAACTTGTTTTTTCAGAACATATGACCGCAAAATACATCAAAATACTGCAAATGTAATTACGGTATACATGCGCACACCCACAGATCTACACGCATACCTACCTAGCTACCTACCTTCCTACCTACCTACATACATACGTACGTACCTACGTACCTACGTACCTACGTACCTACGCACAGACCTAGACACCTACACACCTACGTACCTATGTATCTACATACCTACACACCTAATTAATTACATACCCACATACCTACCTACCTATATACATACATTACATCCATTGCATCCATGACATCCGTTACCTCCATTCCATACATTACATACATAACATGCGTTACATACATTACATACATTACATACATTACATATATATAACATACATAACATACATAACAATGACAATACATAACAATACATCACAATACATAACAGTACATAGCAATACATACCAGTACATACCAATACATACCAATACATACCAATACATACCAATACACACATACATGCAGACATATGTGTATATATATATACACTTAAAGAAGAAGAAAATAAAGAAAAACAATTCAAAGCTATGGAAACTGGAAGGAAAAAGGGCTGCTCGTTGTCTTAGCTGAGTTTTCTATCTTCTGCATCGCATGTAAATTTACAGGTAAAAGTGTCAAATCAAGACAAATATTGAAATGTCATTTCTGACTTTTGGGCTTGCAACTTCTCTATTTTTGTAATTATCGTACATGTGCTTCCAGGCAAAATGCATTCCAAAGATTGTAATTTAATTTGTATGATTTGTTGAAAACATAGTCCATACAGAAGATAGATAGCTGGGAATTTAGTAGAAATTATACTATTGTTTTCGGGGTTGTAACTTTGCCATTTTTTCGATCACTATACGTACCTACTTACATACGCACGCACATACATACGGACGTACGTACAGACAGACATAGAGACATACATACACACACAGACATACATGCACATATGCATATATATATGTGTGTGTGTCTATGTATGTATATACACCTGTAAAATGATCCTAAAGCAGATTCTATAGAGTATAAAATTGAAGGGCGCGGAGACTGATTTCCGGTTTTGCTAGTCTACAATCGATTGTTCCTTTTGTTTTTCGTTATTTTTTGGTGGGGGGTCGACAATATTTCTCCAGCCCCGTGTCTAAACGTGGTTTGAACAAGGACGTGAGAATTGCAAAAGCTTGCGTTTTTTTTTTCAATATTCAATCGTTCAACAGTTTTTCATTTTTTGAAAAATTCGATTGTACATACTCCATGTTCTATCGACCTCAGGGCCGCTCTATATTATGTATTTTCTACACACTCAACCCCACCAATATTCTTAAGGAAACATCATATAGATTCAGGAATATATACATCTACATATATATATATATGATTATATGCATATGTGTGTGTGGTCGGTTTGTTGATTTCGAATGACACCTGACTGCCTGGTCATGTTGGCCCATGCTTAGTGACTTGCTGTTTGAACCTGCCCTTTGAAGGGAAACAGTTTGCGTAACCAACGTTGCAGGCTACATCTTCCAAGTTGGGTGCCCCGTTTTTTCCTCAGAAACGCTTCAGAAACGCATGCCATTTGATGGAACGTCACATGCGAGTGCTTTCCATGAGGCTCGGTGAAGGATACGCAGGCATGTACTGTACATTGTCGAATCTGGAGTTGGTACTGCGGCATTCTGAAAAAAAAAAACATCTTCTCCGGCTCTCGTGGTTTCTGCCCACAAGTCATGCTAAGGTAAGGCCAATCAGGATGTCCTCGCCGGGGCAGAGGAAAATGCAAAGCGTTTCTGTGGCACTTGCGGTTTTAATGTTGGCTGACTCGCCAAGTTTCACGATCACACAGAGTCATACAAGGGTTTTTCGGGAACTCTTTAGGAACTCTTTGGGAACTGCGTACATTTTTTTTGCCATGTTCCCCTGCGCCCTCAGCTTCGGAACTGCGCAAGTTGAATGCATTGCCGAGCCAGAGGGCAAGCTGAATGGTCCGAGGTCTGATCTCACGTGCAACTCTCATTTGCTTGATGGCATTGCAACTTGGATTCCATTGCTGCATTGCTTTGCCTGTGTTGATCCATACCTTTGTCCAAAAGAAGCGAAGGGCTTGACAGCTGAGCCACTGGTGACTCGTCATGGTTTGTCATGACTTTTCACTTGTGAAACTTCCGAGATTGATCTGCGACATGGTGTGCCAGACCATAGCCATAGCCGTTGCGAGTGTTGCAAGAGTCACGCTGAAGATTTACCTGATATCAATTTGCATAATAGGATGATGATGTAGGATGGTGACAGGCCACCTGTGCTTTGCATCAGCCCAAGGAGGTCCCAGCACCTGTCACCAGTTTCCTGGATCTCATTCCAGACAGCAACTTGAATGACATTCATGTCAAACTTGGCATATCTGAGCATGGTTCGTTTTGGATCGTTTTGGGAATGTTTGGGTGATGCGTTGGGGACTTTGCATCTTGATCTTGCAACAAGTTCCGTGGTTTCTGCCTGCCATGTGCTGAAGTACCAGTCAAATCCAATTCGCTTATGTGTTTTGATATGTTTTTATACGTCTTGATGGTAGTGCGGTCTTGGGATTCTTCGTGCAGCGCGCTTGTTTCTGGCCATGTGTGTAGAAGGAGCCTGCTACGGAATAGAATTCTTGGCCCAAGATCTAGGCCAATGTTTTGCCGATGTTTGACACGAGATGAACTTCTGAGGCGGCGATGTGGCCTTGTGCCGCGATTCCTCCAACCCAGAGCCGGTGACCTATCAAGAGCTGAGGGCCATCTTGAAGGCCCTGCAGCGCGAGTTCATGTGCAACCATCGGAACGCATTTGGTTTATGTTTTTGGGCTCAGAAGAAGCCACTGCACATTGCAAAGTATTTGGCTTCAACAACATTTCAAGCCTGAGGTCTCAGGCCAGAGTTGCCCACAAACCGCATACTGTACCTTGCCACTTTCAGATCTTGGACTGACGTAAACCGTCCGGATTGGCCACCAGGATCCTACAATTGCTGCCTTCTTGACAAGAGGTGACCGCGTTGCTGTGGTGCTTCAGAACGGGCGGGAGATGGCAATGTCCTTGCTGACTGTTCCTTGGAGTGACTATGAACTTACACTATGCGGCATCAAATTCTTGTCCGAACCGACTTGCAGGGTGCTCTCTTGAGGATCTGTGCTGATGCAGAGCCAAAAAGAATAGAAACATATAAAACCATTAAAAACCCTTGAAGCGTTCCTTAGGGAATTGCGGGGAACCATTGCGCGCGGATTCGGGTATATACGTGCGCGCGAATTGAAAAGCTTCAAACCGCCAAAGTCACCGCTATGGCGCGGTGTATTCTTAGCTATACTTCCTTGGCCCGGGTCACTGAGACGCATGAAAGCGTAGAGGAGCAAGAAAGCGCGAGAGCCCCACAAGCGTCAAAGCGCCCCCAAGCGCAAGCTGATGTATAGTACATTATAGTACACCACAATCAATTTGCAATCTTTTTTTGATATGTATATTAAATGATCGAAGAATGGAAAGCGGGCGGGTTGGCTGAGGTTATGCACCACGCTTGTGCGGTCCCATTGAACCCAAACTTTACAGAGGCCCACCGGTTGAATATTGCGATTGCAATTGACAGACGTGCAATGGGACATTGTGGGGCGTGGGCTACCAAGCTGATTGCCAAGTGTTTGCACATTTTTGCACTACATGTTCAAACCGTTTGAGGAGAAACAGTTGAGGTTTGCAGTTCCCATATCTCTCCATGTCTCCCGTGGTTGATTGGGGAAATTTGTCCGGTACATTTCGCTAGTGGTTTTGGAGGCAGAGCTGGTGTCAAGTTTCAAGCAGCTGCGCTGCAGCACCGTGATCACCACTTCAGCACATCTTCCGGCGCTGGCTGCTGCGCGACAGCTTGACCTGCGTATCCTGCTACAGGCTGGTTAGCTTCAGAATTATGACTCAGCTGATTGGTCATGTAATACAATTGTTTTTTGGATTGCGTTTTGACAAAATATGGCACCGGGGTTAATGTTTCGCAGTCCTGCCAGGCAACCTCATGAATTGAGTAATTGCTGCTAAAGATAATAAAGACACACACATAAATATATATATATATATGTTATATAGTGAATCACACCCATATCCATCAACCTACCTACCTATCTATCAATCCATCCATCTATCTATCCATCTATTCATCTATCTATCGATCGATCTATCCTATCTATCCTATCTATCCTATCTATCCTATCTATCCTATCTATCCTATCTATCCTATCTATCCTATCTATCCTATCTACCAATCCTACCTATCCTTCCTATCCTATCTATCCTACCTATCTATCCTACCTATCTTTCCTACCCATCTATCCTACCCATCTATCCTACCTATCTATCCTACCTATCTTTCCTACCCATCTATCCTACCCATCTATCCTACCTATCTATCCTACCTATTATCGATTTATCTATCTATCTATCCATCCATCCATCCATCGTATCTTTCCTATCCATCGTATCTATCCTATCTATTCTATTTATCTACCTATCTACCTATCTAATCTATCTATCGACCTATCTACCTGTCTAAGACACTACCTATCTATCTACCTATATAGCTATCTATTTGTCTTTCTTTCTTTCCGTCTTTCTTTCTATGTATATTGTACATCTATATTATATATGTATATGATGCATATCCTATGCTTATGTATGTGTATATCTATATATATATATATATTTGTTTATTTAATTATATAATTATGACGATGATGACGATGATGATGATGATTTGGACGTCTTCTTGAAACCCTATAAGAAACCCTAAGGATTGTATGGTTAATTGTTCCATGGGACCGGGGGATTTTGATATCTTCTTGAAACCCTATATGAAACCCTAATGACTGTATGGTCAATTGTTCCATGGGGCCGGGGGACTTTGATATCTTCTTGAAACCCTAAAAGAAACCCTAATGATTGTATGGTTAATTCCATATGATATGTAGAAGCGACTGTTCCGGTTATATGATATGTAGAAGCAACATGTTCTGGTTAACACCCTAGCAACATAATTGAACATAAAATCCTTCCTGTTGTTTGACATCGTACAGAATTCCCTGGTATTTACGCTATTCTGGGTTTGGGCAAACCTCGTGGTCTGTGCGTAATATAATGTAATATACATATATAATTATATATATATATCTCTCTCTCTCTCTCGCTCTCTTATGTCTAAGCATGTCGTAATATACACACCTTGTGTTTTTTGTATGTATGTATATCATGCATGATGATTGTGTGCATGGAGCAGGTCAGGAAGGATTCCCAGCAGACACTGTTCAGGGCCTTTTTTCTGCAGCACTGGAGTTGGGTTGGAGTATTTCGGGCGCGAACTCAATTACAGTGCCTTTTTTCCCCTTGCAGCACCTTAAACTCGGGAGTTTTTGAGGTGGGCCAGGGCAGCAGCTTGAAATTCGAGGGATGTGAAGATGATGGAAGTCTGAATCCTGCACGGGCGCAGCAGCAGGACATTCAACAAAAACATGCTGGATTTAGTCAGCATGTCAGCGAAGAGTTGCCCAGGGAGTTGTTTTTGTTTGCTTTGCTTTTACCGTGGGCTTTGCAACGGCCACCCAATGCTTGAAGCAATCATGCGAAGATCTTTTGAGCCAGCAGAGTTGTACCAGAGGACTTTATTGATGAGCAGCACCCAGTGCTGCTGTTGAAGACTTCGGGAACAACTTCCAAGGGCAAAGTGGTGCCGTTCTCCATGCGACGTTTGAAGCTTTACTGAAACCAGGGTGATGCCAGCTCAAACCTATCCCTAAAAAGATTAAGAAACGGCACTTGCTAGTTTGCGCATGTTTGCGCTGCTTTCTTTTGTTTTTCCGCATCGATGATGACTTGCACTAAACAGCCAGAATTTGTTGAAAGCCCGAGTGCTCGACGACGGAAGTTCACATAGATAAAGTGCTAATCTGCAGTGGTACTGGGCTTGCTTGGCCCTAGCACAGAGAAGCACAGTACCAGAAACAAAGAGGCCCAAGTCCAAGCAAAGGAACTTCTGACATCCTTTGACAATATTTGGAACAATCCTTCTTTTGGCCCTTTTATGGCGCCGGTCATGAGTATAGATGCTCCAGACTCCAGACTCCATATGGTCATAAATACGGACTTCACCCGCTCTCAAAGCTTTGGCGTCAATGTGCTTTTTGTTCCCCTGTGAAGACACACCTTTGACGTTTGAGCCTATCCTTGACTCGCAGAAAGCTCTTGAATTCAGATGAATTGAGGTCCTTGGCTGCGCAATACAATGCACGCTGCCTGGAGCTTGCGCCAGGGAGTGTTTGCTTGAGCCACTTGGCCCATGCGACTGGCAGCTGGCAGAAAGAAAGGGAGACTCACGAAGCCACGCCTGGGGAACCAACAGATGAGATGGGATAGTTTACTTCGACAAAGAGTTTATCACGAAAGGCAGCGCCAAGCTACCTGAGTTCTCCGCTTGCTCTGCAAACTGCTTTTCCTTTCGTTTGGGTCGCCGGCTAGGTGCATCTACGTGCTTGATTTTGGGCGTGTAAGTCTTGGTTTTACTCCTCGAAAGGTTCCGGACCCCCCTCTTTGATTCGCTCCCGGTCCACACCTGGGGTAGGTTTGAAAAGTAACGCGCGCAATGATGGTTCTTCAGGCCCAACATCTGAGCTATAACGCTGCCTGCTTTGTTTACACGCCCTATTTTTTAAAAATTATTTATTTAATTTTATATTTATATATGCTAGATTTTCCAATGTTTGTTTAACTTCTGCCGTGACCACATCATTCATCACCGACGTGTGAGTGTGATGATGACAAGGGTGACAAGCTATGATGATTATTTTTGTTTGAATGCAACAGAAGGACAGAAATGCAGAGCAAAAACATTTTACAGTATATGTGTGTTCTTCGTAATTGTGACATGCCACATGACATGTGCAAGAAGAAACTAGCACAACTAACAGCACTGCATATCCTTTCTTCCTAATTGCAACATGCAACAACCTTGCACACCAAAAATTCAACAATTCCATCCAACAAAATGAATTGGCTTGACATTTTACATGCGCTTTCGGCCCAAAGAATTGACCGATCCAAAAGATTCATTGGGAATTTGGGAGGCTTCCTGTTTGCGATCCTGTTTGCGAAACACAACCGGTGCTTGCATTTTGTTGCAATTGTTTTCAGTTGCTTCGATGTTTTATGATATGTTCACCAGATATGACTTGTACTAGTATTTGCAATATTGCACACAAAATTGCAAGGCTCGAATCGGTTATAGGTGGCAATGCCCGCGGGTAGTTGACACCGTCCTGTCGCAATCTTACATGAATCCTTGAATCCCAAGTCACGGAAGACCAATCTCATCACCAAGCGCTTCAGAGCCACCAAAGAGCTTTTCAACCTCGAGCCTAAACACTAGGAGCCAAAAGCTGGAAAGAGGATCTCAGCAGGATTTCCACAAGATCTTCTGTTAAGGACCTGTACAGGATCATGCAAGGACCTCTTAGAAAGGAATGTAGCAGGATCTCCACAAGAGCCCGTTTATGCGAGAATTTAAAATGAAAATGCCGCAGACCCAGAGCGCCGCACAGACTTTGCGCGAGCCTGCGCAGCCAAAACGCGCATGGAGCCATTTTATGCGAAGGCCGCACCCCAGAAGTAAGCCGCACGTTTTGTGCAAGCCTGCGCAGTCGAAATGCACTTGGACATCTCCGAAGGGCCATTTTACGCGAGAACTTGCAGGGAAAATGCCACGCCCCAAGATCGCAGCCCACACTTTGTGTGAGCCTGCGCAGTCGACATGCACATGGACATGTCACAAGAGCCGTTTTATGCGAGAATTTACCGGTAAAATGCCGCAGACCAGACCATGAGGAGTTTGCTGATGCCATGTCTTCGAGGTGCTTGTATGAAACCTCTTACAGGTCCTTGCGAGAAGCTCTTGCCGGGATCCTGTTGAAACCCTCCTGAAGAGATCCTTGCATTAAGACTTTGAAGATCCTATGCCGTGGTGCTTGTATGAAAGTTCTTCTGGGACGCTCATTAGGGAGTTCTTGTTTGTGAGATCCTCTATTTACATTTATTTCTATCCTGCGGATTCCTACCACATACGTTGACCGAAGATATACGAATCAGCGAGTTTACGAAACAGCTACACGCATGGCTTACCCATTAGGAAACTCTACTATCAAACCTTTTAGCACGACGCTTGATGAAAGACGAGCGAAACTCGCTGCGCACATACTTAGATCTTCGGACAATGACCCAATGAGGCAGGTAACCTATAAGCCTGGCAGTGCAGATGCAGTCGAAGTTGGTAAACGTTGTATCGGCAGACCTAGGCATCATTGGACTTTCCATTCCAACCAACTTATCCACAACTTAATATCTCATACTTCCAAAATGAAAACATCCTTGCAGCTGCACGCCAGCGTCGAATCTAAAACCATGTTCCATCCTACGCCCTGGTGCCCAAGCACCTCTTTTGTTTTGCTGTGGATGTCAGCAACGGGTGCATGGCGAAAGAAAAAAAATAAGGTCCTGCTGCTGCATTTGCGATAATTTCTAGCTCATCTGTTTCTGTTCCACAGCTACTGTTGCTTGTATCTGGCACATTGACTTCCTTCCCCCCTACCGTTTGGATCCGTTTGGATCCGTTTGGGGCCTCTTGCCGGTGTATTTTTTTTGGGGGGGGAGCTTGGGCACGACCTCGGCAACTTGTTCTTTTTCCCCCGCCTTCCCAGAGCACTGTGCCAAGAGTCAAAGCCAAAAGCACTTCAACAGTTTCGCCTTCGTACCTGTCGCACTGTGACGGGGGCCTTTCAAGTTTTCACGTGAGTCGAAACGATTAGGGCCTTGCTGTATGTTTGACAGGTTTTTTGCTGGATGGCTGAGTCACTTGGTGCAACATGGTTTCATCATGTTGAATCACATGGCCTTGGAAAGGTCATGTGACTTCCTGCTGCTGGTATGATTTTCTGGGTCCTGCGCTTGAAAACTCTTGAATCAGGGTCGTATCGGGATAATTGATGGGTTCGTTTGATTTCTTCAGCACTGACTTTGGTTCCTGCTTTCTTTGGCCTTTTCAGCCTTCTCCCTCCATTCCCTCTTCTCTCTTCTCCCTTCTTGTCGCGCAACCTTTTTTCCGGTTTTGCACTGCAAACATTAGTTTTTCAGTATCAAGCGGCGCCCGGTTGTGCAGAGTAGTAGCGCCTAGTTTTTGCGTAATTACTTCATATGTGACGGGCGTCGTGACCCTTCTGTGGCAGGGTGGTAGCGGTTTTCTGCGCCGCTAGAAATCACAATGACATTCTGTGGTTTCAACGCTCACTACGTTGTCATTCCAGCAGTGCAAGCAACTGAAAGCAGCGATTCAATAGTTAAAGGGTGAACTGCAAATTGTTGGAATCTGCTTTTGCCTTGTCAGGCATGATGCCGCTTTATCACATCGCGGGGATTTCTGTGTCCCGGCAGTTCTAAAAGCCATTCAGGCACTCCTGTATGGGATGCAGATTTGACTTTGACTCGGTCACTAAAAATGTTTACTGCATTTTAGTACTTTGCAGATCCTTTTCAAGTCAGACGCCTGCGCGGTGCAGCTTTGGAGTGGAAGCCGCGTCACGAGGTGAATTTCCTAGCATCTCTCTCGGCCGGTGCCACGATCCTGTTCTTCTCCGGGCAGTTTGAGGTGAATCTAGGCTGCAGCAAAGCGGGAACAAAGAAGATAAACGCCCACAAAAAAGATCGTGGCATCCTGCAGTGCCGAAACTTGTCATTTTCCTGGATTGTTTTTGAATGACGGAAGCAATTCCATTTGGTTCCTGCTGCCACGCAAGATCAGGACACGCTTTGTCGCTGAACTGGAAAGAGAAGACAAGCTCAAGCCAACATGGTGCGACGAACGGGCACCAACCCACTGTCTTTAGCCTGGCGCCTGCATCTCCAATTCTTACACCTTTGCTGAATGCCTTCAAGCGGTTTCTCTTCAGTAGGGCTATGGCGCGGAATGGGAACATGTTTTTCCCGAGAGCGTCTGAGCGCAGGGTTCTTCCAATAGTGGGGGTCTGTATCTCATCTTCTCATCTTCACATCCTCTCATCTTCACATCTTCTCATCCTCACATCTTCTCATCTTCACATCTTCTCATCTTCACATCTTCTCATCTTCACATTTTCTCATCCTCACATCTTCTCCTCTTCACATCTTCCCTTCTCATCCTACCACTTCTCATCTTCACATTTTCCTATCTTCACATCTTCACATCTTCTCATCTTCACATCTGCTCATCTTCACATCTTCACATCTTCACATCTGCTCATCCTCACATCTTCACATCTTCACATCCTCACATCTTCACATCTTCTCCTCTTGCCCTCTTGCCCTCACATCTTCACATCTTCTCCTCTTGCCCTCTTGCCCTCTCCTTCTTTCCTATTTCTCTCTGAAGGCGCAGGGCAGTGCCAACGAGACGGCACGAAACACAACCCTTTCGCACGAAATGAGGTTCGATCGCCAAAAACTGAGGTAAAATTGCGAGTTCAAGTCGTCCCGCGCAACCCTTTCGCACGAAATGAGGTTC